TGAGGGAACGGTCGTAAGCGAAGCGACCAAGTTGTAGGTCCCCTACGGATGTCAGTAGACAACTCCATCCACTCAAGGTCCGTCAGCAGGTAACCCATCATCAAGTCGTTCGTCCAGTACAGCCAAGGTCGGTAGTGATGCAAGGCACGAGCATGCGGTCAGTTGCCAGTGATCAAAGGCAGTAAGTGAGCCTGCGAACGACGTGGTGCGGTGTGTCCCTACGGATGTCTACGCTCAGCTATGATACCAAGGTCAAGTTCAACAGCGATTGGTGAGTCTGAAGCAGAAGCAACAGAACCTGCGGTTACTACGAAGCTTGTGGAGCAGTCTCTCACAGGTCCCCTACGGATGTCAGTACACCATATCATCATCAACAGGTTCATCAGTCGATGCAGCAATGATCTTCAGGTGATGCGAGGCACGAGCATGTGGTCGATTGATCAGCTTAGGCAGGGAGTGAGCTTGCGAACGACCCTAGGACTGACCACGCGCTGAGCAGATCAACTTCAGTAAACGAGGGTCCTACCCAACTCCACCCAACCGACGCTGAGCAAGGACCGCTATCAGCTTCGACTTCAAGTCAATTCAACCGTAGTCTGTAAGTCATGCGCAAGGTCAATTGAAACGCTCCATCACCTCATCTCGCAAGCGGGGCCCCAAGGATGAGGTGACTACCCTAACATCAATCTTGCAACCAGCCTTGATTCCTGACGCCCTCCGCTTGTCCGTACACCATGACTTGCGGTCGGCAACTGCAATCGATCCACCGTTCCAGGTGGGCACCCTCCGGTCGACCGGGTGGTCAGCAAGTTGCAATCCTTACATCAACTCCGATCGACTACCATCGATCTCCGTTGATGACATCATGCAAGACCACCCTCCTTCTCCCTACGCTAACACCCACCTTCCACTCGCGTCCACACCAAACCAACGCAACCACGATCGTGAAGCCACCATCAACAATATCCAAGTCACCACATGCAGCACTAGCTTCGTCAACCAGTGGTACCCCCGTAGATCACCAACACGACCGGCGGCAAGACCAAGAGCAACAACAACCTGTAGACCACCAGCAGCAACGAGATGAACCGCACCACGAGCTCCATCAGCGGCAACATCAACAGCAGCATCAGATACACCGCCACCGAGACCACTGACAAGGAGGTGCTGACCAGCGCCTCCATCACCAGAGCAACCCCGATTGTGAAGATTGCCATCACCATCGACGGGAACATCACCGCAATCAGCAACAACACCCCGATGAATCCCAGGATGAACGACAAGGATAGTCAAATCAACGAAAGCACCACCAGAATCAGCGACATCAACACCATCACCACAGCCATGATCAACAGCAAGGACCCCATCACCATCAGTCCCAAGACCCATAGGTGTGTCGCTACGGATGCCAGTAGGCAGGTCGTCATCCAGTCCAGCGGTGATTTCGAGGTGTCGGGTCAGTCAGGGGGTGTGTTAGCGAAGGGGTTTAAGCAAGTGGCCTTGCGTACCATCGCCTGGAGAAGTACCCTTCGGAGTGACCCACGCATAGTAGTCTCCAACTTGTTGGAGATGGCGAAGCCACCTGAAGGGCTACAAGCATGGGACACGGAGATGGGTGCTCTGGAAGGTAGAAGGTTCGCACTTTGCAGGCCACGAGCGGCCCCGAAGCGTGCACCCCGAAGCGTTACGAACGAAGCGACCTCGTGCAGGAGCTCAGAAGCCAGAATCGGTAGCAAGTAAATCATAATGCAAGGATGGTGTTTGCGTAGCCGAGTTGAGCGGAGTAGCGAGCTTGCGAGCGTTAGGAGACGAGGTCGGCATAGCGTGCCATCCTGGAGTCTAGCGGAACGACCCTCGACAGTCCCCAGTAAGTCAAGCAGTGATAGCAAGTGTAGTGCAGGATGGTGTTAGTGCAGGCTCCCTTCTAAACGGGTCCCCTTCAGGGGATGGAAGGGGGCCGAAGCGTGGCATCCGTAATAAAACGACCCTAGCAACAGGCGGTTCAGCCAAGATTGTCAACGTCGAGTGAAGGAGGTATCGACTGAACGACCTAACAAGGTGCGTCCCTACAGATGTCAGTGGGTTTGTCAACAGGTTCCACTTGCGGTTCAGCAGCAATCGGTAGGGAGGTTGATGCAAGGTACGAGCATACGGTTCATCCGCACGTCAATAAGGCTGTCAAGTGTAGTGAAGGGGTGTTAGCGCAGTTCACCATCCTTGGGGCCCCGCTTGCGGGAGACGGTGGATGGAGCGTGGCCCATAAGGAAACGACACGGTGCAGGATCGAGTCAGTTCATCAGCGATCAGTAGTGGTTGATGCGAGGTACTAGCATGCGGTCGCGTCAGTAGTTAGCTAGACCGCCGAGTGAGTCATCGAACAACATTGTTGTTGTCCCTACAGATGTCAGTAGGCCAACCATCACCCAGTCCAGTTCAACAGCGAACGGTAAGGTTCATGGTGAGTCACCCGATGAGGAGGTAGTGAGCCTGCGAACGTTCGAGCTTCGGAGCAAAGCGGAGATGAAGGTATTCCCACGGATGTCAGCAGGTGACCCATCAACAGGTCCACCAGTCTGTTCAACCAAGCCCATCAAGTGCAGTGAATGGGGTGTTAGTGCCGGAAACGAGCCTCACCTGCAGGGCCGCTTGCGGTCATTGCTTGCGATGATGAGGCGGATGACCAGAGCGTGGCCCCGTAACGGAACGACCCGTGCAGGCTCGACTTGCGGTTTGCCGGGGCCCCATGAACAGTAGCCAGTTAGACCCTGGCGAGAAGTGAACAAGCAATAGATCCCTTGGGGTAGGGCCCCTGAGGGTGAGGAGTGAGGAAACGTTCATAAGCAAAGCGACTGGGTTGTAGGTCCCCTACAGATGTCAGTGGGCCCATCCATCAACGGGTCAATCATTCGGTTCAATGTTGATCGGTAGATGAGTCAGAGGAGCAGCCCCTGAAGTCGAAGCAACAGTTCCTGCACTCACTTCACCAACCCATAGAGCAGTCTCCTATGGGTCTCCCCACGGATGTCAGTAGGCAAGACCCATCATCCAGTGCAGCAGCGATGTTGAGGTGATGCGAGGCAAGATCATGCGGTCAGTCCGTCAATAACAGAGTAAGCTAGTGAGCCTGCGAACGCCCTTGGTCAGGGTCACCCTACAGATGACAGTAGGCCCAACTTTCATCAGACCACCAGCCAATTCAGCCATGATCCCAAGGACCCAACCTCCACGTCACTCATACAACCTATCCCACCAATGTTCCCGTCACTGGCTCCGGTGGGGCACGCTACGGTTGACCGTGGGGGCTGCAAGTTGCAACTTATGACCCCTCCGATCCACTACCATTGATCTCCAGGGCCAATGCTGCAAGGCCCCACTCCTTCTCCCTCCGCTACCACACCACCACCACCACCAGCGACCTCCACTCCTCCCACCCAACTGCCAAGGGACTTGAACCCCTCTCCTCCGCACCAGAGATGGAGATGTTACTCCTACACCAAGCAGCAAACGCACCCAACAACACGACCAACCAAGCAGAAGCAGGCTCTCGTTAGCGGCCCCCACCAGATCAACCGATCCAACCTACGCCATCACCCACCAGCGCCCCAAAGGGTTGTTGCCACCTCCATCGGAAGGACGTCCAGAACACCAGCCAACAATGGCAAGATGAACAGCAACATCACTACCAGCACCCCCACCCACCTCTGGAGCAAGAGCAGCAGCAATCCCAACAACTCCCGAACAAAAGGAACACTCGCCGCATACATCCTTGTAAACACCGACGCGTGACCATCCACCCAGCACCCACACCGCTCAAACGGCAGCTCTCAGGCCCAATGCCTCCGATCCCCGCAGGGAAGCCCGCACCCCACCAGGCCAAAGCCCCTTCCCCCCTGTTACCAACGAGGGCAGTTGTGCTAGCATGATTCAGGTGGTGCTCCCACGACTTCTACCCTCTCGAGTGTTCCCCGCAGCAAAGAGCCTCATATGCGTAACCCCTTCCCTCCCCACCACATCCCACACACCCATCACAGGCTAGGGCAGACACACCCCAAAGGGCAGTTCCGTGGTGCTTCAGATCCAAGGTCCTTAGCGCACATGCTATCATGATGGTGAAGAACAGGTTCTGGCAACCAGCAGAGCTTCCAGTCCATCCGTTCACTGCGTAGGGCCTACCTATTTGAAGCTGGTTCACTCCCCTCCGTCCTCACGCTGCCCTTCCCCTACACCACCAACTGGCGATCCACCCCACCCTGCCACACAGCAACAAACAGCACAAAGCCAGTACGCCACAGCAGCCAGAAGGTTTCACGCGTTATCGACTACAGCCCAGGTCAGCCCCCCTCATGGAAGCGGCCTGTCCCACAGTATCCCACTAGTTGGAGATCTGCAAGCAAACTGCAGTCGAACCAGGGTCCAGATTCTGCCAGCTAAGCATGCTTCCTCGAGCTCGTTCCCCAGCCCCGCCCAGGTCAAGGT